TAAGGTGAGAGCAACTCTCCAGAATCCAATAACAAAGACATGGAAGATATTATCTCCTTATCAGAGAGAATATTGTGATAAAATGGAAAAATCAAAGAGATAAAAAAAAATGTATAAAGATAACCTAAAGCAATGTAAGAAAATTCAGAAAAGTTTTTTTTTTTTTTTAAGATTATTTATTTATGCATACTCTTGTAGGCATAAACTGGGATACAGGCCAGAGGTATGGGGGGGCGGTGAGAGGATTCACCAGAGACAGAGTGGGGAGCAGAACAGGTGGATCTACTGAAGTACACTGCTGAGGGGAGCAGCGGGCATGTCAGGAGAGGCCTACTGTGTCATGTGGGTTGCAACCTGGCCGCCAGGGGATCGAACTCATGCTGCAGTGGCTGCAGACAGCTTCATAGGTTGTGTCTTTACCCCTTGCGCCACCAGGGAGGCCCCGAGAATTCAGAAAAGTTAATCGAGAGAGACAACAATACTCAGAGAAACATGTTAATGATCTGAGAAATAAAATTAATAAACATCAAGTAGAAATTGAAGTTATAAGAAAGTAACACAGATTGAAGATGGAAAGACCTCAATAATGAGGTCAAGTATTCTAGTGAAAGCTATGGAAGATGAATAGACCAAATAGAAGATCAAATCAGTGACCTTGAAGATAGAAATATGTGAAGGACCAGACGAGAGAAATGGGATATGAAAAATGGAGCACTTTGAGTTAAGGAATTTCTTTTGACCAATGTCTTAGTGAAAATCTGGTCATTACATTTCATCACCTTAGCAAATGTTCTATCTGCTGGAATTTATTCTAAGACTTAGGAATTTCTCAACATCAAGCATGCCTGCTGGAAGCTGAAGGTCAAGAGAAAAGAGCATGATAAATTCCATCGAATACATATCTTGGGAAGGAAATCAGAACAGAGGGGCCTCCCTGGTGGTGCAAGGGGTTAAGACGCAGCACTATGAAGCAATCTGCAGCCCCTGCAGCACGAGTTTGATCCCCGGCCAGGGAGCTACCCACATGGTGCAGCAGACCTCTCCTGTCTCACCTGCTGCTCCCTTCAGCAGTGTATTTCAATAGATCTGCCTGTTCTGCTCCCCACTCTGTCTCCGGTGAATTCTCTCACCCCCAGCCCCCCGTATCTCTGACCTGCACCCCACCTCTTATATGCATAAATAAATAAATCTTTAAAAAAAAAGAAATCAGAGCAGAGCACTGGGCATAGGAAACAGATGGTAAATAATTAGCTTCCGTGGTCAACACTGTAGATTTGATTGACATTTTTGTCTATTTGGCAAGAGTGTGCTAAAAATGAGTGTTATCTGCCTCTATCTCATAGAAAGAAAGATAAACGAAAAAACAACCTACTTTATTCTTCCTCTAGTTTAAACATTATGATATCCAAAGAAAGAAGAGTATTTTGAGTGCCAAGTGTTATTAATGTCAGAGTTACTATAGTTTTTACCTGCTATTCATTTTTATTTTTATGAATACACACCCAAGACTTTTAGGATAGCATTTTTGCCTCTTGCCCCCTTCTGTTTCAATGTCACCAACCTAGACTTTAAAAACATAACATTTAGTGCCATAATAATTATTTTATTTAATTTATTGGCAATACCACTTTGGATTTTTTTGAGTGTATTCTTAGAAAGGAAAGGTGAATTCCTAGGAGAACTGGGAAGAGAATATGATTCCCTTCCTGAGCATAATTCAAAGGGCTTGTTGAAGCCCTGCAGTAACATTAGAACCTGTGAAAACCCCACTGGGCATCAGAAGGTGTTGAAGGGATAGGAAAGGAGTAATGGACTTGAAAGGGTTCTTCCCATCTGGTGATCCCCCCAATGACCAACCTAAAAGAGGACCGAGAAGAGAGAAGGCTCAAGTAATATTATGAAAGTGGTATTTTCCACCCAGGTTCAGGAAACTATTGAGACAAAAGGCACCGAACAGCAGCCACATGGCCAGAGGAACTGAAAAACATGCTACTTCCTCTGTTGTTTTTTCATCAGGTAGTATCCATCTCTTTGCTTGTTTTTCCACGGAAATAATTAAAGATACAGTAAAAGATACAAACAAAAAGAGATTGACCTGTCACTGTTTCAACATTAAAAAAAAAAAAAAAAAAAAACTCTTTTCTGGTGAAACTATTTCAATTCTTTCTTTTCTTTCGACAGACAAAAATATCAATCTGGACAATGAAGAGGAGATTGGTTTACATCCCCTTAGAGGGAAATATTGCAGGAAGCTTTTACCAGCCTTATTAGGGGAACTTTAGATTCTGTGGTTATGAAGTGTAAGTTCACTTGCAACCACTACTCTTTCTTATGCCAGTCTTGAGCTGTACAAAAAAAAAAAAAAAAAAAAACATGAATTCTACTCTTCATGCTTCTTATCTCTGGCCAGATTTGCCTATGCATTAGCTATGACTTTTAAAACAGTAAAGGCTGAGAATATTGGAAAACAATATAATCTGCATCACGAATGTATTGCATTGATTCATTCTTTCTGTGACTTAGCAAATTTTTGCAGACATGTAATTCTTGATTAGAAACTACTGCAGAATACAGTTATAGAGGAAATGGCTCCTTGTCTGAAACATATCCAGGGACTGCCTCAATTGAAAGGCTGAAGCTCTAAATCATAAAAAAAACAAGCAGAAAAAAATGTATTTTTTTCATATTTACTAAAATGATGTGTCTATATAGATTGTGTTGCTGAAAGCTAGTTTTTCTCAGCAAGGCAAACAAATGTCTCCTTTGTGATAGGAAACATGCGGTTTTTTACTGTTTTGACACCAGCACTTAGTTAGCAAGGCATATCGAAAATACGAAACTTCCATTTTTTTTTTTGCAACTTAATGTAAAATTTTATCTCCAAATATTTTACTTCCTAAGAAAGCATGAATCAGTGTTGCAAATCATAGTCTGATATTCTATTTGCTCAACCTTGAATAGGCATTCACAAATAAGGTATAACCTATCTTTTGACAGCCATTCTCAGTGAGGATTGAGGAGCTAGATGTCCAACTATGTTGATATTTCATCAAAGGTAAAAGAGAAGTTGCTGAAGTTTTACCAGCAACCACTCAGTAATGTGACAGATAATTTGGGATGGTGTGGGTGGGTAACATATACAACAGGTAAGTACCCTGACTTTCATCACTTCTAAACAATGCTCTTGTTTTCTTGGAGAGTATCCTATCTTCAGACAGACGCTGTCTGAAAAAAAAAATATATATATATATATCCCAAATCCCTTTCATTCCCTTAAAACTCTGGATGTAGTTAAACATCTGATTAGTCACGGTTATTTCACTAACAGTCTAATTAGTGGAGTCAGAACTCAGCTGCTGTGCCTCCAGGTCAGACCTTGGAAACATGTCCTCTGACACAGGAGGCACACTGACCTCTGAGGTCTCCACCCCCCTGCCTTCTTGTCTATGTACCCCTCACTGGCATTGGGTTTCCATTGATTGAGTCAGCCCAACAGAACACGGTAACACACACACACACAAACACACACACCACCATCTTCCCAGGATTCATAGGTACCATTGAGGTCAGAGACATAGGACAGTCACATCCTTGGTTATAAAATCCTTCTACAGCTCAGTCTTGCTGTGAAGACTCCCATGTTAAAACGTTCTTTAAAATTGAGGTGTTGGGTCTCCCCTGGTGGCACAGGCGGTTGAGCACAGCACTGTGAAGCTGTCTGCAGCCTCTGCAGTGCCAGTTCAATCCCTGCCAGCCAAGGAGAATCCCATGTGGTGCAGCAGACCTCTCCTGTCTTGCCCGCTGCTCCCCTCAGCAGTGTATTTCATCAGTCTGCCTGTTCTGTTCCCCACTCTGTCTCTGGTGGATCCTCTCACCTGCAAATCTGGCCTGTACCCTGGTTCTTGTATAAATAAATAAATAAATATTTAAAATAAATAAATAAAATTGAGGTGTTGGTCGTCCCTGGTGGTGCAAGGGGTTGGGCACCACACTGTGAAGCAATCTGCAACCTCTACAGCAAGAGTTCGATCCCCAGCGAACCAGGGAGAAATCCACATGGCGCAGCAGACCTCTCCTCTCTCACCCGCTGCTCCCCTCAGCAGTGTATTTCAGTCAGTTTGCCTGTTCTGCTCCCCACTCAGTCTCTGGTGAATCCTCTCATCTCCCGCATCTCTGGCCTGTACCTCAGCTCTTGTATGCACAAATAAATAAATCTTTAAAAAAATAAAAATAAAATTGAGGTGTTGATAGAAATTACTTTAAATTGGGACAATGTGGACAGGTGCCTACATGGCCTGTGTAGCATAGGAATACACTGCTTATGTTTTGGTGGCTGGGGAGCTATGCCCATGGCAGTCTGCTTTTGGAGAACCATGGTAGGAATATATCAGCAATGACTTTCTGGATGAGCTAATGCAGTGGGAGAGGGGCGGTGTAGCAGGAAATGCACCCCATAAAATAAAGTTGGACTCTGGGAGGCACTCAGTACCTATTTTCTGTTTTAAATACAAGTGTAATGCACTTGAAAGACACGTGTCTTTGCTGTGCAATGGGATCTGTGAGGCAGAACCTGGGCTTTTCTCTAACTACATCATTTCCAAAGGTGTGTTAATGACAACCACATTCTCTATTCCACATCCAAGCTCTTCTGTGCTATATCAGGGGTGAGGATTAGAAACCAGCAGGCAGAGAATAGAGTGGGTTTCTGCTGGGATCTCTTCCAGGTTCTTCTTTGTAAGTGAAGGGTTAAATACTTTGCAAACACCCCCTTAACGCTCAGTGTGAGAATGGCTGTGGTCCTCTCTCCAAAGTTAGGACCCTGAAAATATCCTCTATTTTTCTACTCTAGAGTTTCCACCTGTATGTACCTGAAAGGGGATATGGGCCTTTATGTTGGGGCTAAGACCGGATAACTCATCTGGGAGATGAATACTGGGCACTTGATGGACACTTAGAAAATTTAAATGGACAAAAACCCAAAATTCACACTTAAAACTCACCCAAGACTTTCTCAGAGGCACACGATGAACATCTTTTCTGGAACTTTTTCAGGACATTCTATACTGCAATAAAACAACAAATTAATTATTAGATGTGATGTTTGAGTTCCTTTGGGATTAGGCATCAGAATCCGGATGAGATAAAATCTCTAATATTACTTTCTAAAAATCTGTAGATTTGTAAAATATTTTAGGCAACTCATTTGTTTAGACTTCAAGGTTGACACTTGTGTGGCTATATTTTGGGAGAAACAAAATGATTGTGAGGTAGAAAATACTTTATTCCCCTAGACTATTCAATTCTTCCCCTTCCTCTGTTTCTCTGAAATCTGAAACAAATTAATAGCAATCTCGAGTTGGAGAGGTGGCAAGAATTGTTCTGAAAATACTTAATTACACTTTGGTTACATACAATAATCTCTATATTCTTACGAGGTAGTATGTAGTCTAGTTACTCATGTCGCACATGTGGATGAATTCATATAACACTTCTCTAAGAACTGAAAGCAGAGTGTGGCAATGCATATAACTGCATATTTGAAACACATATACCTAAGTATATATAACCATAAAAGTACATAACTATTCCTATAAGTACATAACTATATAAACAATACCTGTCCATCTATGTATGTAGCTATATATAAAATATAGATGACAATTAGCTTCTGTTTATTTTATCTCAAATTCATTATGTTGCAGTTTTCATATATACACACACAGGCATACCTATGATTATTAAGATCAAGTTAGTTTTAGGTAAATCAATATTTAACTTTTCCAGCAGACCTCCTCTATAATAAAATTGTCAAGCCATTTTTCCTTAATAATTACTGACTTCAGCTATAAATCCCTAAACTGGTCAATAACCTATAACCCAGCACCTCTCGAAATGGAATGTGGGATATTTATGTTCCTCCTGAGAACAGCTTGCATATAATGTCCTGCCGTGCAGAGCCGGCTGACCAGAACCGCCTTCCTCCTGCAGTAACACCACACAATGGTGCAGCCTCTTCCCTTCTGTCCACCCCTCCCCTCTGTGAAGCTGGAGACCACTTTCCTTGGAAGGCTTGAATCACGCCCAACTTAACATATTAGGTGCTAGCTTAGCACACGCAGCACTAAACCACACCACAGCTCATTAACCTTTAGACTATAAAAAAGAAAAAAAAAACTTGCAAAAATGTCAGCTTAGGTTTCCATTTCAATAACAGGGTTTAGGTTAACAAAGAAGGAAAATGCAAAACCTCAGATTGCGTGGTCATACTTGAGAATCGTTCTCATCATTATTTGTTTAAAGTCAGAAGGTAAAACATAGGAAGAAAATGAGCCTCTAATTGAATGTTTTCTCTCAAACTCATTATGCTGTGTGTTTTTCGAAACTATGCGAGACAGACTTATCTGTGGTGTGAAGGTAAAGACTACAATATACTGAAACTTTTGCCCAAAGAAATTGAATTCTCTTAGGACCTTTTCCAGTGGAATCAAATGTTTAAGTACTTATGTCTCAGAGACAAGTCAAGAGGACCGAAGATGCAGCAGAGAATTAAACAGATTCCAGCCGGTCACTCATGCAGCTTACTTGTATGTTAGCATGTGGCACTGTGCTCTGCTGTTTGCACATATTTGCACATGTCTTCATTCAGGGGGAGAGAGACAGAGACATCGGTGACATCAGGCATTGTTTTCATTGTTAAGCTTACAAAAAAAAAAAAAAAAGAAGACACCCCTCAAGTAATTCTCAGTCTAGAGGGAGAAGAGGTAATTACAAGGATAGGATTCTGTGTTTTGTTTTGTTTATAATTTTTTTATTTATTTTTGCATAGAAGAATCGGGGTGTAGGTCAAAGGTGCAGGGGATGAGAGGATTCACTAGAGACAGACTGGGGAGCAGAACACGGTGATTTACTGAAATGCACTGCTGAGGGGAGCAGCGGGGAGACAGGAGAGTTCTGCTGGGCCATATGTGGGTCAGCTCCCTGGGCAGGGATCAAGCTGAGGCTGTAGTGGTGATAGTGCTGAGACTTAATCCCTAGCCCACCAGGGAGGCCCGGGTTCTGTGGGTGTTATTAATAGTATTATGATGGCAGACTGAGACATGTGTTTCAGTAAGCAAAATCTTTCAAGAAAAAATGGAACTGGATTTGACTCTTTGAAAGATTCAATTGGCCCATTTGATCACCACATCCTCCCCTTCTGGATTGTGGGTGCTGTGGCGGCAGGTATGGTGTAATAACATACATCTTATAGTTTACAATATCATATATGACTCAGAAATATAGGATCCCACCTCTTCAGCTATACTAATCTATGTCTGAAGAGGTATGAACCCCTAAATCATATAGAGTGTTGCAAACTAACGGTGTATAGCATACAATATAGCTTATTATAAAATAAACAATAAAAGATTCGACTGGTCGTTGTGTTTCCTTTAGCACCTACTATGTGTCAGACTCCAGCTAAATGTTGGGATTCAGTAATGAGCAAGTTAGATATGGTCCCTGCCCAAAGAACCCTAAGGCCTTGTGCAAATGTCAGACTCTACCAACTCCCAAAAGTTATATACGTGCTTCAGCTGTGTCCAGGTCAAGGTTTGGCCAAGTGAAGAACAGGTGATAGGGGGTGGGGTGGGGCAGCCTGGCATAGGGGCCATTTGACAAAGTAGAGGGAAAAGATAGGACTAGATTTGCAGATTGAGTGTAAATAGTTTGGTGTTGCTGACATGCGAGTGCGAGGCAAGGGGTGGAGAGATATCCTATGTTCCCGAGAGCCTTTCTGTCACAAAGGAAGAATAATCAGATTGGGAGTCAAGACCTGAGTTGTGGTTCCAGAGAAGGGTGTTGGGAAAGAGATTGCAGGGTTAAAGGAACAGCCTGCAAGTCAGTGGGTGATGCTTGGGACTCCATCCCCTTAACTTCCTGAACTGGGGCTACTGGGAACTAGAGTCAGGGCAGAGCTCACATGGACTTTAATAAAACAGAGCAACAGCCATGTTATTGCCAACTTCAGGATGACTTAAAAAAAAAACCACGAAATAATAAATATTAAATTATTTATCAATAGCTGTTGAGAAATGATACTGGAAATTATATAACAAAATAATCAAGGTTTGTGCAGAGAGATTTAAATCTGCTTTATGGAGAAAGATAAAAGAATCATGAGCTACAAAATTCCAAAACAGATTTTGCATCCTGACCACTCAATATTATATAAAGTATTGCAAACTAATGGTATATGGCATGCAATATAGCTTATTATAAAATAAACAATAAAAGGTTCAACTGATTAGACATAAAGGTGTATTTTAGAGATTTTTTTTCCCCAGGATATGTAAAAGAAAAGAGCATATTCTTCAGAAAATGGATTGCTCTTTGGAATTAAGTTTGTAATTGAGAGACAAAAAATAAGGTGAATAAAATATCTTTCAAAGAGAAGATTAAATTTCCTACTGGTGTCCTGTCTGCTCTCCTATAAGCCCTATATTACATGCAATCTTATTGGAAACTCAAAGAAAATTTTCTTATAATTTTATACATTTTTACTAAATTTCAAATGGAAAAGTAAGTCATTTAAAATAAAAAGCTTATTTTTATAGGATAAATGTGTGTGCAAATGCAAAAAAAAAATACTAAATAAAATGACTATTTCCAAATATTTGCCAATAGCTTTCCAGGTTTTCAGATGATCTTTGAAAAAAAATGTCTTAAAAAATTTGGCAAAAGGGGACTGTGCTTGTTTTAAACATAACTTGCAACTTCGGTTAAAAAAAAAAAAAGTTAAAATCCTAGGGGAAAACTCAAGCCAGACATTGAAGGGAAAAGGTGTATAGTGGCAAATTTTACATTGTTATTTCAATAAAGATAAGTACCACTCATAAAGATATGATATTTTACACTGTCAAATGTAAAAAAAGTAAATTTTGGAAAAGCAAAAGTTTCAATTTTTAAAAAAGTGAATTCCAGCCAAGCCAGGTGACACCTGCCTGCTATGTTCCTGCATGATCTGAAAAGTGTAAGTTGGTACAGCCTGTTGGAAAGCAACTTGGCAGAAGGCACTTGGATAACAATAGGGATCACTGTGGCTTGGTGAACAGCCCAGGAATACAGCCTGATGAAATCATCTAAAAGAAAGGAATCATATACCTGAAAGCATTGGTTACAACATGACATGGAAATAATTGGGAAGCAACCTAGTTTGCAGAGGTAGGGTCAGGCACAGGTAAAGTGATTTAAAAGGGTGCTCAATGATTTTTTTTATGTGAATACAAACAAAGTAATCAAAAACTTTAGTAAGTGGCAACACGCATAATTTAGGTCAGAAGGGAGAATAAAAAGTAAGCCTGCCCTGTGAATGATGTTATATTTGTGCATGTGAGATCTGGCCGTGTGTTATTTTTTTACAGACACAAAAATGTGCATACTCCGAAGCAATCGTTTATAGATATGTGTGTCTGTGTGTGTGTCCTCTCATCATGGATACAAGACATAGTACATTTTTAAAACAGAGAAATCATTTTAGTCATTAGTTCAATTTCTACTTTTTACCTTCAAAAAATCTTTTGTACTACAATGAGATACCATCTTACACCAGTGAGAATGGCACATATTAAAAAAACTAGCAACAACAAATGTTGGCGAGGTTGTGGAGAAAAAGGAACTCTCCTGCACTGTTGGTGGGAGTGCAAACTGGTCCAGCCACTATGGAGAGCTGTGTGGAGATTTCTTGACCTACTAAACATAGAGCTTCCATAGGATCCAGCAATTCCACTCCTAGGTATTTACCCAAAGGACACAGAAACATCAATTCCAAAGAGCACCTGCACGCCTATGTTTATAGCAGCACTGTTTACAATAGCTAAGCTTTGGAAACAACCCAAATGCCCAAAAATAGATGACTGGATCAAGAAGATGTGGTCCATATACACCATGGAATATTACTCAGCATTCAAAAAAGATAAACACATGCAATTTGCAGCAACATGGATGGCACTGGAAGGGATCATGCTCAGCGAAATAAGCCAAAAAGAAAAAGAAAAATACCGGATGGTCTCACTCATAGCAGGAA